TGAAAATGGGGTAGATCCTCACTGTGGAGTAGAACCTTGGGCAAATATGCAGGCAGAATCCAGGCGGAATAACAGGAGGGAGCAACATTCAGGTAAAATATGAGGGGGGGGCCCAGGAGAACTTGGGGGCTGGTGTACGGAGAGGGGGAATGTGGCCCATCCCGCCCCCCATCTTGGAGAGCCGCATGGCAGTAAGGGACATGGGGAAGGGAATGAAGACGGCTGGTTTCCGGAATGTGGTAGGAGGGGTGAGGCTGGAAAATGGAGGGAGGGAGGTTCTGCAGCGGGGAGGGGAAGGGAGTCCGGAATCTCCAGGCTCAGAATCCCCAGATGGGGAGTTGGGGTCTGGAAAGGAATGTGGAGGTGGCAGGGGTGCTCCCATCAGGCCAAGAAGAGGGGAGCGGGCGAAGTTTGTGGAGGTGCGGGGGGCAGGTGTGTGTAAGGGGACAGTGGAATTCGGGGAGAATATTCAGGGGCTTAATATCTGGGGACTGAGCCGGAGGCTAATGACTTCACGGCAGTTGGATGAGGAAAGGCTCCATGGTTTAGGGAAGGGCTACTATTCTCGGGAAGAGAATGGGGAGCTTCTGTGGGGGAGTGGGGGAGGAGAGCAGGGCTGGGTTGGTGGTGGAGATGGGATGGGACGGGCCCCTTTACTCCTCTGTCTCCCTGGAGTTTGGTACAGCGAGCTGGGTGGTGAGTGGGGCGGTGAAGCTGTTAAGGCTCCTGCGGGGTTCTGCCGGTACCTCCAACGCCTTGGTAACCGGAATGGCGCGACTACTGATTGGTTCGCGGAGTCGGAGGGGCGGGGCCAGCGCTGCCAGGCACTCGCGCGGAGTACGGGGTGGGGGGGGGGGGGGGGGCAGGATTACCTTGAAATGTGTAGCTGTTTGTTTGCCCATAGGCCAGGGATTATTAACCCCACCTCTGAACCTCCAGAGAATGTGAAAGTGCCCAATTGTGAGAGTATGGATTTTCAGGGGGAAGAGGTCTCTCGATTTCATCAGCCAGTTCCAAACTCGAGAGAACCCCCCCCCCCCAAATAAATTTATGAACTTGGGTCTAGAGTCAGAGGTGCCTGCCAGGATGTCTGGGGCTTTGGCGGTTGTCCTTGGGCCTTTGAGAAAGGGGATCTGTGGATGGGCCTCAGGGTGGTATTCTGGGAGCCCTTGAAATTACTCGCCAAGGGTTGGTTATTCATTTGTCTGGGGGAAGTTCAGAGATCTCATTAGGCTATCAAAGGCACAAAGACTCCTAAAAAAGTTAAAGACCTCTGGCCTAGAGTTTCAGGGCTCATCATTTTCTGGCCTCACAAATGTTATATTTTCCAATATCAGCCTTTAGGAAGACTTTTTGGGGGAGAGTATGACGCGGAGCAAAGGTTGCGGGCGAGAGAAGGAGACCAGGCATTGGAGGGGTCCCCGTGATCTGGGTTGGGGGGCAGTCCTGGGTAGCTCTGTCCCTGGGGCAGCTGTGGGTTTCTGCCGAGCCTCCGTTTCCCCATCTGTACACTGAGGAGAAAATGGACTTGCCTTGTTTCTGTACTGCCTTTCAAGACACAACACAACTAATAATAATAATAATAATAATAATGCCGGTGTGTATTGAGTGCTTGCTCTGTGTCAGGCATTGCTTGATTTGTCCAAGGATTTTATCGGGATTAAGTCGTTTAATCCTTACACCAATCCGAGGACATGAGCCCTGTTATCCTCCTATGGGCTTACAGAGGCCTGCATGAACATCATCTGGCCCGGTATTTCTCTCATCTCATCACTTACCCCTCTCTCCGTCCCTCACGCTTATACCTTGCTGTTCTTAGAATAAACCAGGAACATCCCACCGTGGAGCCCTCCCCTGGCCTCTCCTTACCCCTCTCCAGGCGTCTGCTCAGAGAGCCCTTCCCTGGCTACCTTAGCTACGAGAGCAACCCCTACCCCCAGCATCTCCTTTTTTCCCACTAGTCAACTTTTTTTTTTGGACATTTTTAAAAATGTTTATTTGATTTTTGAGAGAGAGACAGACAGACAGAGCACGAGTGGGGGAGGGACAGAGAGAGAGAGAGGGAAACACAGAATCTGAAACAGGCTCCAGGCTCTGAGCTGTCAGCACTGAGCCCGGTGCCAGGCTCGAACTCACGACCCATGAGATCGTGACCTGGGCCGAAGTCTGCACTTAACCGACTGAGCCACCCAGGAGCCCTACCCCCAACTTTTGTGTGTGTGTGTGTGTGTGTGTGTGTGTGTGTGTGTGTGAGACATTTTTATACTTCTGACTGCTGCCGCCCCCTTGAGGGTAGGGGCGAAATCTGGTTTCTCATGGTATCCCCAGCACCCAGGAGAGCATGTGCTTTAAAGAGAAGGAATCTGGGTCCAAGAGAGATTAAGTAACTTGCCCGTGTCTGTGCACATACCTGAAGCTAGATACAAGCTCAAGCAACCTGGGGCTCTCCCTAAAATCCACGCCGAACACACAGATCTGACCCTGTCCTCCACTCCATAGAACTAACAGCGAGTAGTAGCCCTATTGGCTAAGAGAAGGTACTTACGTGTGCAGCAGACTAATTAATAAAATCAATTATTAACTTCATTGTATATAATATATGGCACTGGCTGTTCTTTCGACTCGGACCCCTTTCCCTGGACACCCATGTGACTTGCTCCCTGACTTCCTTCAGTTCTCTGCCCATATGTTACCTCCTCAGAGAGGCCTGCCCCGACCCCCTATTTTTTCTTTAATTTTTTTTTTTTTTTTTTTTTTTTTTTTAGATTTTAAGTGAACTCTACACCCAACATAGGGCTTGAACTCACAACCCTGAGATCACGCGTTGCATGCTCTACCGATCGCCTCCTGACGCCCTATTTAAAGTCTGCCTCGGGGCGCCTGGGTGGCTCAGTTGGTTAAATGTCTGACTTGTGGTTTCGGCTCAGGTCATGATCTCACAGTCCGTGAGTTCGAGCCCCGCGTCGGGCTCTGTGCTGACAGCTCTGAGCCTGGAGCCTGTTTCAGATTCTTTGTCTCCCTCTCTCTGTGACCCTCCCCCGTTCATGCTCTGTCTCTCTCTGTCTCAAAAATAAATAAAAACGTTTAAAAAAAATTTTTTTTTAACTAAAAAAAAAAAATCTACCCTGCCTGGAGGTGCCTGGGTGGCTCAGTTGGTTGAGCCTCTGACTCTTGATTTTGACTCAGGTCATGATCCAAGGGTCATGGGATTGAGCCCTGATTCAGGCTCTGCTCTGAGTGTGGACTCTGCTTAAGAGTCTCTCTCTCTCTCCCTCCCTCTCTCCTCCCCCCACTCCCCCCGGTCCCTTTTTCCTGCTCGCATGCGCTCTCTCTCTAAAAAAAACAATAATAAAATAAAATGAAAATTTTAAATCTGCTCTGCCTGACCTCAGTACTCTGTCTCCTTTTGTAGCTTGATTTTTCTCCACAAATGTTTGAATGAATGCATGACTGATTAATAGATAATGAACATAAAGATTAATAAATTAATATCAGTGTATTAATCACGATTCTCTTGTTGGAAATCCTATAGCCTGTCAGCCAGCACGCGTGGGGCACGGACACAGTTCTAAGTGTTTTTATGTGGATTTTACAATTTAATGATCATGACAACACTCTGAGGTAGATTCCGTTATTATACCCGTTTTCTGGATGAGGAGATTGAGGCACAGAGAGGCAATCTCTTTCCTAAGGTGTCAAAGCTGGTGAATGGTGAAGCCAGGATATGAATTCTTGGCCTTCCAGCCTTGGAGCCTGGCCTCTCAGCCCCTCTGGATCTCTGTTTCATCCTTTCTCCAGCGACACTGGCCATGGACCAGCCAGCCGGCCTGCAGGTGGACTATGTCTTCCGGGGTGTGGAGCATGCCGTGCGGGTGGTGGTGTCTGGGCAGGTGCTGGAGCTGGAGGTGGAGGACCGGATGACGGCTGACCAGTGGCGGGGCGAGTTCGATGCCAGCTGTGAGTGGGCCTGCCTGGGGTGGTTTCACCTGTCCTTCCCTGGGATCACCTTCTCCCGGAAGATGAGGTCAATCAGGAACCCGCCCATCTGCGTCTTCTACCTGACCAGACTCCCTAAGGTGGGGTGGGGGTGGAGGGCTCGTCCCTCAGGCCAGAGGCCCTGGAGTGGGGGCAAGTCGGAAAGCTTGGATGCATTGCTCTTGGGCTGGGCAGGTGGTCAGACTTCAGGAAGGACTTTTCTCTCTACCCAGTCATCGAAGATCTGACTCACAAGACAGGGAACTTCAAACAGTTCAACATCTTCTGTAACATGCTGGAGTCGGCTCTCACCCAGGTAGGGGCAGGTTGGGAGCTAGGGGTGGATCCCTGGGGAGGTGGATGCCCATTTGACGGATGCAAGGCCCTCTACCTTTTCTTTCCTTTTTTTTTTTTTTTAATTTTTTTTTTTCAACGTTTATTTATTTTTGGGACAGAGAGAGACAGAGCATGAACGGGGGAGGGGCAGAGAGAGAGGGAGACACAGAATCGGAAACAGGCTCCAGGCTCTGAGCCATCAGCCCAGAGCCCGACGCGGGGCTCGAACTCACGGACCGCGAGATCGTGACCTGGCTGAAGTCGGACGCTTAACCGACTGTGCCACCCAGGCGCCCCTACCTTTTCTTTCCTTAAAGGGACAGGCCTATCTTTTTCTTCTTTCCCAAATGTAAGTGGTTTATTCTGATTCTAGTGATGGTTACTGTAATGTGGAAAATTCCTGTCACAGAGAAATGTCAAGAAGAAAGGAAGAATCACTCTACTAACACTCATTCCTGTTAATATTTTGGTGAAAATCACTCCAGCCGTTTCACCACTTCTCTGTTTACTTGTGAAAGTGTGTGTGTGTGTGTGTGTGTGTGTGTGTGTATGTGCAGATGTATAATTTTATATAGTTGATATATTTCCCAAAGTATTCTGTAACCTGCTTTTAAAGTTGTTTTTTTTTTAATGTTTATTTTTGAGGGAGAGAGACAGGGGCGAGTGGGAGAGGGGCAGAGAGAGAGGGAGACACAGAATCCAAAGCAGGCTCCAGGCTATGGGCTGTCAGCACAGAGCCTGATGCGGGGCTCAAACCCATGAACTGCCAGATCATGACCCAAGCTGAAGTCAGACGCTTAACTGACTGAGCCACCCAGGCACCCCTCTGTAACCTGCTTTGAAAAGATTAAACCACATCAGGCGGTTAAGCCTCCGACTCTTGGTTTTGGCTCAGGTCACGATCCTGTAGTTTTGTGAGTTCAAGCCCCACGTCGGGCTCTGCGCTGACAGCGTGGAGCCTGCTTGAGATTCTCTCTTTCTCTCGCTCTCGCTCTCTGCCCCTCCCCCACTCATGCTGTCTCTGTCTCTCTCAAAATAAATAAATAAACTTAAAAAGTTAAAAAAGTAAAAGATTAAACGATATTTCATAAAAATTTAGTCACATCAGTGAGTATAGCTACTCATTCACGTAATTTACTGAGCATTTATAGTGTGCCAGGCACTGTGATAGGCGTTGGGATACAGCACTAAACACAAGAGATAAAATTCCTGTCCTTTATGAAATGGACATTCTAGTGGGAGAAACAGAAAATTGAAAAAATGTATAACGTCAAGTAGTTAGAAGTGTTGACAGTGGCGGGGGGGGAGCAGGTTGGACGTTGGAGTGTCAAGGGTGTTATTAAGGCATTTTAAAACTATGACCTACATTATTTCTCTGATTATAGGTATTTGCACTCACATATTAAAATGTGTGACTTAGAAACTGACCTTTCTTTCTTATTGTTTTTTTTTTAATGTTTTAGTTATTTTTGAGAGAGACAGAGACAGAGACAGCATGAGTGGGGTAGGGGCAGAGAGAGAGGGAGACACAGAAACTGAAGCAGACTCCAGGCTCTGAGCTGTCAGCACAGACCCTGACATGGGGCTTGAAGCCATGAACCGAACGATCATGACCTGAGCCGAAGTTGGACGCCCAACTGACTGAGCCACCCAGGCACCCCTCTTATTTTTTTTTATTTAATGTTTATTTATTTTTGATAAAGAGACCTAGCACGAACAGGGGATGGGCAGAGAGAGGCAATCTCTCTCTGAATTCGAAGCGGGCTCCGGGCTCTGAGCTGTCAGCACGGAGGCCCACACAGGGCTTGAATTCATGAACCGCATAATCATGACCTGAGCTGAAGTCAGCTGCTTAACTGACTGAGCCACCTAGGTGCCCTGAAACTGACAGTCTCTTATAATCCCCCTTATCTCCCCTGCTCCAGACTGCTAACACTTCATGTGTATGTGTAGGCAGTATAGCACAATGGTCAAGAGCATGAATTCTGAAGTCAGACACATCACTGCCGCTTACTAGCTGGAAGCCCTGGGCCAGTTACTTCCCCTTCATGCCTTAGTTTTCCTATCTGTAATGTGGGATAAAGTAGTCCCTGTTTCACAGCGTTGTGAAGATTAAAGAAGTTCTGTGTATAAACCTTAGAATGGCATCTGGCTCGTAATAAGTGCTTTATAGATATTGTCTGTTTTTATTATTGTCATCAACTTGTGAGTTTGTCATCCTTGTTAGTGGTTGCTTAGTATTCTGTTACGCTCATTCAGCATGATTTACGTAACCCAGTTTTTTGTATCATGGCCCCTTTGTGGTCTTAAAAATTATTGAGGCCATCAAAGACCTTTTGTTTATGCAGGCTTTTTCTATCAATATTTGTTTGCCGTATTGTAAATTAAGTTGTTTTATAAATTAAAACTGAGAATAACTTCAAGATATTTATGAGTTCACTTAAAATAGCCACAATGAGCCTGTTAGGTGTTAAATTAAATAACATTTTAATGAAAAAATACATTTTCTAAGACAAAATAAATTAGTAGGAGACACAGCATGGTTTTACATTTTTGCAAATCTGTTTAACGTCTTGCTTAATAGAAAACTGCTAGATTTTTTTTTTTTTTTTTAGTTTTTAAATTTTTATTTATTTTGAGAGAGAGAGAGAGAGAGTGCACGCATGCAAGCAGGGGAAGGGCAGGGAGAGAGGGAGACAAAATCCCAAGCGGGCTCCACACTGTCAGCACAGAACCTGATGAGAGACTCAGACTCCCAGACCATGAGATCATAACCTGAGCGGAACTCAAGTGTCAGATGCTTAACCAACTGAGCCTCCCAGGCGCCCTGGAAACGGCTAGATTCTTTTTTTTTTTTTTTTTTCAACGTTTATTTATTTTTGGGACAGAGAGAGACAGAGCACGAACGGGGGAGGGGCAGAGAGAGAGGGAGACACAGAATCGGAAACAGGCTCCAGGCTCTGAGCCATCAGCCCAGAGCCTGACGCGGGGCTCGAAACTCACAGAACCGTAAGATCGTGACCTGGCTGAAGTCGGACGCTTAACCGACTGCGCCACCCAGGCGCCCCGGAAACGGCTAGATTCTTATATGTGCTTCTGCATTCAGTCTGTTGCGATGCATTTTTTTTTTTAATGTTTATTTTTGAGAAAGTGCAAGTGGGGGAGGGGCAGAGAGAGAGGGGGACAGAGGCTCTGAAGCGCAGACTCTGCAGTGACAGCAGAAAGCCCTGTGAGGAGCTAGAACTCACCAGCGTGAGATCACCACCTGAGCCGAAGTCAGATGCTTAACCCACTGAGCCACCCAGGCACCCTTGCTGTGATATGTTTTGGTTGAAGTATATGCAGAAAAACCTCCCTCACCTAGATATGCAGTGGGAAAGGGAGTCCTTTAATTGCTTTTATCAGATAATGGTGCACATCCTTCTTTGCTAACGTATTAAATCGGCACAGGTGGTCATTTCTCAAAGGTTTGTCGCAGTGTGGAGTCCGAGAGCATATCAATGAACTTTTTGTTTTACATTACATTAAACTCTATTGATGTACCTTGAACTTTGCTTGGATCTTTTGCCCATTTTATAATATCATGCACTGGTCATTTGGAAAATACGGTTCGCTGCGTTATGTAGACCCTCCGAGTGTTGACGCATTTCATTATCCGGTATCAGGAAGTCACATTTGTTAATATCCTCACCGATCTCCCCAAGGAAAGTCTTTGAACATCAAGAAGCTTACCCAGCGCACAGTGGGCCGATCCAAGTTTTCCAAAAATGCCAATTTTTGCTTTGAAGTTTGAATTTTCTCATTGGCAACAAATACCGCCAGTTATGTTTCTTGAAGTGACGGGCTGACTTCGTTCATTTTGGGAGAAAATACCTGCCAAACAGCCAAGTCTGAATAACTGTAGTTTTGTCTGTCAGTCGTTCTTTCAAGTAAACATGGTGTGCCATGAAAAAGTGGCTAATTTAGCCCCCACCTCGATTACACAAGTGTTCTTCCTGGGACAACTGTCTGTCGTACTTTGGTACGCGACACAATGTGTATTTCCCATTTTGTCACAGAGCTGTGTACTCAAGGATGGAGATTCGATAAAATTAACCTGTACTGATTTGTCAAGACCGTTCCTAGGTTTGGGGTGCCTGGGTGGCTCAGTCCGTCAAGTGCCTGACTCTCTATCTCAGCTCAGGTCCTGATCTCAGTCAGGGTCGTGAGTTCAAGCCCCGCGTTGGGCGTGAAGCCTATTAAAAAAAAAAAAAAAGACCACTCCTGTTTTTGATTTCTGGTGTTACATTTGTTTGTTTGTTTGTTTGTTTCTTCCTTCTTCCTGGCCCCCCACTGAGATTGCAGAGCAACAGAAAACACAGTGACTCCTCGTACATTTGCATTTGATGCCTTTGGCAAGGACCCATGACAGTATTATTAGGAAAATTGTCTTGACCTCGTGGAAATCCTGAAAGGGTCTCGGGGACCCCCCAGGGGCCTTTGGACAACACTTGGAGAGCCACAGCACTAAGCTGTCCCCCATGGTTGACCATTTAGGTTCTTACCAGTTTCTCCCTCTGGTGTCCTTGTGCCAGCCCCTGGGGCAGGGCCATCCTGGTCATCTGTCTCTGTCGGAAAGGCCCCACTAGCCCAACGAATGGATGGGGCGTGGCCTGGCTTTGTGGGTTGTGTGCTCTGGGCCTGGCCATTCCTCCCGTCCTCTTCCAATAGAGCAGTGAGTCGGTCACCCTTGACCTGCTGACCTACACAGACCTGGAGTCCCTGCGGAATCGCAAGATGGGGGGCCGCCCAGGCCCTTTGGCCTCAAGATCAGCCCAGCTCAACTCCAAGCGCTACCTGATCCTCATCTACTCTGTGGAGTTTGACAGGTGGGGATAAAGGACTTGGCTCCAGGCTCAGGCTGGTGGGTGGGTAGGAGAGGGTGTAGTTAGAACTCAGAAAACCCTGAGGGTGGGGTGGGGGTATTGCCTTTGGAATCTTCACTGTTGGGATTTGTATCATTTGGTATTGTGTTTGGCTCTAAGTAGTAGAATAACTATTCCAGGTGCTTTAGACAAACAATAGTTTATCACCCAACAAAATGTCTAGGTAAGTGGCTACTACCTAGAAGTTTCCTTAGGGACTCGGGCTCCTTCTGTTTTATTCCTTTTTTGTCATCCTTAAAGTGTTGGCTTTTGGACCTCATCCTTGTCTCCTCAAGGTCACAAAATGGCTGCTGGCCCTCCAGGCGTGGGTTCTGTATCAAAGCAAGAGGAAGAGAACTGGGCTGTACTTGCTAATTGCATCTACTGTTTTTAATCAGGAAAATAGAAGTGTTCCTAAAAGATGCCCAATAGGTTTCCTATAATATCTGGCCAGAAAAGGTCTTGTGGCCTTTCCCTAATATTTGGCCACAAGTGGTCATGTGCAGGGGATGCTGCTAAAATCAATGCCTGGCTCTTTAGCCTGTACAGTGGGAGGCAGCAAGGGAGGAGGAGGGGGCTGGCAATGGCTGTTGGGTAGCCAGGGGATAGCATCTGCCCCATTTGATAATAGCTCCCGGATTTTCTAATGGGAAGTTGTCCGTCCGGTGAGCATAGCGTCTGGTGGGACGTTAATCAAGGTGCCCTACCTTTCCTCTGCTAAGCGGTGACGCAGATCAGGCCATTTAGAATCTACCCCTATGGAATCGAATTAGGACCGCTTGGTGGTAAGTAACGTGATACCAGCAGCGTATGATGAGGAAGTTAATTCGGACTACAACCAGCCCATCAATGCCAGGGGTTCCAAAATTGCTCTAGAAGGGAGTCTCAGGGACGGCCAGCTGGTGCAAGGGATCTGGGCGCAGGGAGGGGGCTGGAAGTTGCATTTAGAACTTAAGCCTCTAGGAACGTGAGGTTTTTGGAATTGTGTATTTTCCTACTCGAAGGCTCTCAGGGTCTGGTAGTTACCCTCGGGTGGTTTCTTGGCCTCTGAGATGCCACGGTTCTAATCTTCCTCAGGATTCACTACCCGCTGCCCCTCCCGTACCAGGGCAAGCCGGACCCTGTGGTCCTGCAGGGCATCATCCGCTCACTGAAGGAGGAGCTGGGCCGCCTTCGAGGGCTGGACGGCCAGGATGCTCGGGACACCCGGGAGACTGAGATCTGGCACCTGAGGGAACAGTGAGTCCAGGAGGCGAATGCGGTTGGGGCTGGGGGGAGGAGGCATCCCATCAGTCACTGCCTGGCCCTATGCTCAGCACTATTGGAAGGGTGGTGGTCCCTTGTTCACCAAACATTTATTCCGAGCCCCTCTTCTGTGCCTGCCTTGTGCTGGGTGGTGCTGGGGACACAGCAATGATTTCAGCCAATCCTGGCCCTGCCCTCCTGGGACTCCAGGTCCAGTGGGGGAGATAGCTTTGTCTGTAGACAGTGAAGATACACAGTGGATGGAGTTTGGGAAGCACAGAGGGGAGACTGGAGCCTGCCTGGTAAGGGAGAGGTGTTCCAGGCAAAGGGAGCAGCATGTGCAAAGACGGTGGAGGTGGGGCTATATTCAGCGCCTCTTTTGTGCTGGCCCCCTCCCTGCCCTTCACGTTGTGGCCAGCCCAGGGGGCAGATGGACGTTGATCCCATAACCACCTGGGAATAGCATTGCTAGCAGAGATGGGATTAGGCAGAAAAGGGAGTCTGTGCTCTAGGAGGCTGAATAGGAACCTGCTGGGGTCTTGGGGTGAGTCAGGTGAAGCGAGTGGGGAAGAGTGTTCTAGGCAGAGGGAACAGCATGTGCAAAGGCTTTGTGTTTGGTTGGATGTGGTGAAAACACGGGGGCTGGCAGAGTAAAGTGAAGAGAGCAAAGGCTTTTTGGCATATTTACCGAGTGCCTGCTGCATGCTGTGCCCTGTGGCGTGCTGAATCCAGGACGCCATTGCCACCTGGAGGAAGTCCCGCCCATTGGGAAGGGCAAATAAAATGTTTGTAAGAACAATGATAATTATAACCGTAGCTGACATTTATAGGGCATTTAGCTGTGTGCCAAGGATTCTGCTCAGTGCTTTGTTACTTAATTTTTAATTATTTTTATTATTCTTTATTTTTTTAATTTTTTCATTTAAAATTTAAATTTTTATTTATTAAAAAAAATTTTTTTTTCAACGTTTTTATTTATTTTTGGGACAGAGAGAGACAGAGCATGAACGGGGGAGGGGCAGAGAGAGAGGGAGACACAGAATCGGAAACAGGCTCTAGGCTCTGAGCCATCAGCCCAGAGCCTGACGCGGGGCTCGAACTCACGGACCGCAAGATCGTGACCTGGCTGAAGTAGGACGCTCAACCGATTGCGCCACCCAGGCGCCCCATATTTTTATTTATTTTTAAATGTTTGTTTATTTTGAGAGAGAGAGCGTGCCAGTGGAGGACTGAGTGAGAGGGAAAATGGATTCCAAACAGGCTCCACGTTATCGGTGCTGAGCCCAACTCAGGGCTTGATCCCATGAACCGTGAAATCATGACCTGAGCCGAAATCAAGAGTCGGACGCTCAACCGACTGAGCCACCCAGGTGCCCCTTCGTGACTTAAGTTTTTTAATCGTTGCAAGGTAGACATTGCTCTCGCCCCCATTTTACAGAGGAGGCAACTGAGGCCCAGAGAGGTTAGAGAACTTGCCGCAGGTCACACGCTAGATTTTTGAATCCGTGCAGCCAGCACCAAGTCCCCTTTGTTTCTGTAGCTGTTGTGTTATGTTGGTGGCTGCTAGGCCGCTAGTCCAGGGCTAACTGTTCAGGGCTGACAGGGAGGAGGTGGGGGCCTCTGGGGCTGGAGAGCCCTGTGGGTCTTCCTGGAAGAGCCTGGCTGTACATTGCTGGGAAGCAGGATAAGTGTTTCCCTCACTTCATCCTCAGGATCTACCCTCTGGCCTCTCTGGTGTGTGTGGATGTATGCATTTCCCGGACTGGCCACAGCGTGGCGCCCTCTGTCGCTCAGAGCCAACCAGAACTAGAGAGGATGGCTTGAGATCCTACAGCTGGTTGGTGGCTTCTTCCTCTTCCCAACTTCCTCTTCCTAACTGTAGTGAGGAAGTTTGGGAAGACTCCAAGATTCATCCATCCATCCATCCATCCATCCATCCATCCATCCATCCATCCAGTGTTTATCCAGTTCATACTGTGTGCCAGGCACACTGCCCAGCCTGAGTTAATGTTTCTAGAGCCCTTACTCAGTGCCAGATATGGTCTAAGCACTCTGTAAATTCTTATACAACTTTATACGTAGGTATTGTTATTGTTCCACTTCCCAGAGATGTGAGGTGCTACTGCCCAAGGTCACCAAGCTCGTAATAAGTGGAGTAGAGTTGGACACAGCCCGACCACAGAATTCAGGTTCCCTCACGGTGACCAGACAGCTGGAGTAAGGATCCAGACAGAAGACAGATAATCACACTGATAAATGCCAACTCTACAATGACTGGTGCTATAGGAAGGAAATGTACAGAGAGCATGAGAGCAGAGAACAGAGGGACATGACCTAGCCTGGCTGGGGACAGTGGATGTGACATTTAAAGGATGAGAGAAAGTGTTGCAGGAGGAGGGACTTGGATCTGTAAAGAGAAGCTTGGCTGACGCAGCACGGGAGAGGAAGGTGGGAGGAGAGGAGAGGAGGGGGGAATCAGCTGGATGGGGCCAAATGGGGAGCTCCTGGGAGAAGGTGGGGGAGCTACAGATTTTAAGAAGTTTTTTATTAGGAAAAATTCTAAGCACACACAGTAGACAGAAGTAGGATGGACAAGTATTTGTGCCCCAGATTCAACGGTGTTCCACACCCTCCCCCCTCCCCGAGAAGCGAATCCCAGACATCAGATTTCCTCTGTAAATACTTCGTTTTATCTCCATGGTCAGTGTATTCCTCTGTCCCCTGTATTTCCTGTGAAGTCACTGTTAACCCTAGAGGCTAATCAGATTTAGGTCTCTGGCAAGACACCTTCCTTGGGGGTGCCATGTACTTGCCTACCGTCAGGTGGCGTTGGGGCCGATGAGTTCTGAGGTTGAGATCTGAGTCCTTCTTATGAAGTTCCCATCAGCCCAGTCGGTACCTCTTGGTAGTTTTCATTTGCGTTTACTTAATTACCAAGAGGTTGAGCAGTTTTTCATATATTTAAGTAGCCATTTGGATTTCCTCTTTTGTCAGTTGCCTGTTCACCTGTCGTATCTATTTTCCTCTTGTCATCTATTTCTTACTGATTTCCAGGAGCTTTTTATATAGTCTGGAGACGAGCCCTTTGTTGATGTTATGTATTTCAGACACCTGCTTGCCCTCTATAGCTGGCCTTTTCGCTCTCTTAATAGTGTCTTTTGATAAATAGATGTTCTTAATTGTGATGTAGACTAACTTATACGTTTTTTTCTCTGAAGTTAGCAATTGTTATGTCTTGCCTTAGAATCCTTCTCTCCCAGTATCATGAAGATCTTGTCCTATATCGTCTTCTATAATTTTTTGTCTTTTGCTTTTCACATTGATGTCTACGATCCACCTGAAATCGATTTTGGGGGAGATAGAGGCTCTTTCATATTTTTTTCACATGGCCAGTCAATCAGTCCGATGACATTTATTGAAAAGAGTATCCTTTCCCTACTGTGTCGTCATTGTCACCTTTATCACAAATAATGTGTGTGTGTGTGTGTGTGTGTGTGTGTGTAATATATGTAGGTTAGAGGTATTGTAGCTTTCTAATTAGACATACTGGCATACTGGGTAGAGCAAGTCTTCTGACTTGTGTTTTTCCATTTTAAGAACTTTGTGGTTATTTTTGGAAATTTGCATTTCTTTATAAATTTTAGAATCAATAGGTTTTTCAATACAAAAACATAAAACTTGTTGGATTTTTTTTTTTTTTTAGAATAATAGGCTTGAGATTTTATTTTTTTATAAACTAATCTCTACACCCAACATGGCTCTCAAACTCACAACCCTGAGACCAAGAGTTGGATGCTCCAGTGACTGAGCCAGCCAGGTGCCCCATAACTTGTTAGAATTTTTATTGGTATTGCATTGAATCTATGGAACAATTTAAGGAAAGCTGAAATCTGTATAAATAGTGAGTATTCCACAGGATGCCTGGGTGGCTCACTTGGTTGAGCTTCTGACTCTGGATCTCAGCTCAGGTCTTGATCTCAGAGTCGTGAGTTCAAGTCTCGTATTTGGTTTCACACTGGGCGTGGAACCTACTTAAAAAAATAGCGAGTACTCCAATATATAAACAATATACCTTGGTATTTATTTAGGTTTTATTTAATGTCTGAATGATGTTATTCTATCATACTTTTGTTAGATTCTTTTCCTATCTTTGGGTGATTTTTTTTTAATGGTTTATTTAAATATAAATGATATAGATGTTTATATAATTGTATTTTTCAAAAAAATTTTTTAAGTTTATTTTTATTTATTTTGAGAGAGAGACAGAACATGCACGGGAGGAGCAAAGAGAGAGAGAATCCCAAGCAGGCTCTGCACCATCAGCGCGACTGAGACTGAGCCTCCTAGGCCTCCCTAACTGTAGATGTTGATATTGTGTCTAGTAACTTCCACCAGCTTTCTTATTATTTCTAATAATTTGTAGATTTCCTTTGATGTTTAATGTTTATAATCATTTCATCTGCAAATGACTGTTTTGTTAATTCTTTCTTAATCCTTATCTTTCATTTCTTTTTCTTGTCTTATTGCATTGGTGAGGATCACCAGTACAGTGTTGAGAAGAAGCAGTGATATGTGGCATCCTTGCCTTGTTCTGGATTGTAAAGGATAAATTCAGTGTTTTGCCAAAAATGTAGGCATCTATGTGTTTTTCAGATCCCTAATTGATTTAAACTTGCAAAGTGACAAGAACTGTTAATATATAGTTTTTTTTAAGATTAAAAAAAGTTTTTTAAGTTTATTTTTTTTAATGTTTTCTTTTTTTAACATTTACTTATTTTTTGAGAGACAAAGAGAGATAGAGTATGAATGGGGGAGGAGCAGAGAGAGAGGGAGACACAGAATCCGAAGCAGGCTCCGGGCTCTGAGCTGTCAGCACAGAGCCTGATGCAGAGCTCGAAACCATGGACAGCAAGATCACAACCCAAGCTGAAGTCAAACGCCCAACTGACTGAGCCACCCCGGCGCCCCTAATATATAGTTTTAGTAGTTACTGATGATCAGTAGCTAGATAGATTTTTCATCAGGGGTTGGTTAATGGTAATGATCTAATTCTATAATTTTTTTTTGCTTTTGTTAGCTGAAAGTTTTCGATAAAGAAACGCATTCTCTCTCATCAGTTATTTGGTTTCCCTGAGATATATTTCCTATGAGAAAGGCATGATTAAAGCTTGTGTTTTTTCCCCTCTACTTAACTTTTGTCAGAATAACGAGTTGCTTCCTGCAAATCCTCCATGAAGTTCAATGAATGTTGTTTTGCTTTTACTATCCTTTTGAAGTCATGAATTTAAACTCAACTGATGCTATGTTGGTTTCCTATGGCTGCTGTGACAAATTACCACAAACTTGGTGCTTTATAACAGCAGAAATTTATTCTCTTACAGTTCTGGAGGCCAGAAATCTGAAATCACTGGGGCTGAGATCAAGGTGTCAGCTGGGCAATGCTCCCCTGCAAGAGGCTCTAGCAGAGAATCTGTTTCTTCCATCTTTCAGCTTCTGCTGCCTGCCATCATTCCACATCACTCCACTCTCTGCCTCTGTGGTCAGATTGCCTTCTCCTCTTCTGTGTCTGATCTTCCTCGACCTTTCTTTTATAAGGACACTTATGGTTATTATAATTTTTTTTAAATTTAATGTTTTAATTTGTTTTTGAGAGAGATAGACAGAGTGCGAGCCAGGGAGGGGCAGAGAGAGAGGGAGACACAGAATCCAAAGCAGGCTCCGGGCTCTGAGCTGTCAGCACAGAGCCTGACTCAAGGCTCGAACCTGTAAACTGCGGGATCATGACCTGAGCCAAAGTAGGATGCTTAACTGACTGAGCCTCCCAGGCACCCCAGTAAGGATACTTGTGATTGTATTTAGGGCCCACTCTGATAATCCAAGATAATCTCCCCATCTCAAGGTCCTAAATTAATTTCATTTCATTTTATTTCATTTCACTCCATTTTATTTCATTTTATAGAGAGAAAGAGCACTAGTGGGGGAGAGGGGCAGAAGGAGAGAAAGAGAGTGAGAGAGAGAGTGAGAGGATCTTTTTAAAAAAAATTTTTTTTTATTTAAAAAAAAATTTTTTTTTTCAACGTTTATTTATTTTTGGGACAGAGAGAGACAGAGCATGAACGGGGGAGGGGCAGAGAGAGAGGGAGACACAGAATCGGAAACAGGCTCCAGGCTCCGAGCCATCAGCCCAGAGCCCGATGCGAGGCTCGAACTCACGGACCGCGAGATCGTGACCTGGCTGAAGTCGGACGCTTAACCGACTGCACCACCCATGCACCCCTTAAAAAATTTTTTAACATTTATTTATTATTGAGAGACAGAGCACGAGCGGGGGAGGGGCAGAGAGAGAAGGAGACAGAGAATCCGAAGCAGCCTCCCATGAACCGTGAGATCATGACCTGAGCCGAAGTCGGACGCTTAACTGACAGCCACCCGGGCACCCCACGTTATTTTTGTTTTGTTTTTGCCCCCTGACATAATTCTCCAATATACCACCAACTTTTACACCCAGTTAGATCTATTTGAGCGAGTTTCTTTTAAAAGTTGTAGGGGTTGGGGCACCTGGGTGGCTCAGTCGGTTGGGCGTCCGACTTCGGCTCAGGTCACGATCTCGCAGTCTGTGAGTTCGAGCCCCGCGTCGGGCTCTGTGCTGATGGGTCATGAGCCTGGAGCCTGCTTCGGATTCTGTGTCTCCCTCTCTCTCTCTCTGCCCCTCCCCTGCTCATGCTCTGTCTCCCTCTCTCTGGCAAAAATAAATAAACATTGAAAAAAATAAAAGTTTTAGGGGTTGATTTCTCAAAATTTATTTAAATACAATATTTTCAGAGTTCCGAAGTCAGAACTGAAAAAGAAGGTAGGGGGGTACCTGGCTGGCTCAGTCAGTAGGGCATGCGACTCTTGATCTCAGGGTCTTGACTTCAAGCCCCATATTGGGCACGGAGGTTACCTAAGAAGGTACATTTAGTGGGGTCCCACTTGTGTCCCTGTTGCCACTGGTTTCTCCCTGATAGGTAAGCTATTTTTTTTTAAGGTTTGATTTATCCTCACATATTTTTGAAAATATGAACATAATATGATTTATAATTCCCCTCTTTTCTTTTGCGTGAAGAGACGTATTAAACATTGTTCAGCCCTGTTTTTAAACTTCTATCCTGGCCATCACTTGGCGACAGGATATAGAGCTCTTTCTCCTTCCTTTTTCTAGTTGTGTGGTACTCAGTTCAGTGGCTGGATCATAGAAATTCAGCTTACTTTCTGTTGGTATACATTTTGGTTATGTCTACCCTTGCTATTATAAATAGGGCTGCGGGGCGCCTGGGTGGCTCTGTCGGCTAAGCCTCCGACTCTTGATTTCTGCTCAGGTAATGATCTCAAGGTTGGTGAGATAGAGTTCCCCTTCCGGCTCTACACTGACAGCACGGAAGTTGCTTGGGATTCTCTCTCTACCTCTCTCTCTGCCCCTCTGCCCCCCCCCCCCCGGCCCCCCGTCAAAATAAATAAATAAACATTACAAAATAGTGCTGGGGCCCCTGGTGGCTCGGTCGGTTAAGTGTTGGACTTTCCATTTTGGCTCAGGTCATGAGCTCGAGGTTTCCTGGGTTCCAACCGTGGGTTCGAGCCCCACCCCCGGCTCTGCACTGACAGCGAGGAATCCGTTTCGGATTCTCTCTCTCTCTCCCTGTCTCTCTCTGGCCCTCCCCTGCTCCCGCTGTCTCTGTCTCTCGCAAAAATAAATAAACTTGAACAAGAAATGGCGCTGCAATGAATAGCCTTGTGTGTACATCTTTTTCTCAAGGAAGGTTTTGAGCACAGTAGTGACCTGATCGGATTTGCATTTTACAAAGAATCTTCTGGTGAATAGGAGGCCGTGATGGCTGGGAGGCCAGGGGTGGGGGCGTGGGAGACCATGTAAGTCCAGGAACTCAGGGCTAGGCTTTCAGGGTACGGAGAAGGGCAGATTGATGACTTCTTTTGGAATTAGATCTCACAGGGCTGTGTCCTCGCCGCGGGATGGATGGCCATGTTCCTCCTCCCGCGGGAAGAGAGACTACGGGGCCGCGGGGGCGGCTGGAGTGGTGGGGCTGCATTCCTGGTTCCTGGAGCAGGTGAAATGGCTCGTGCCCGCACCCATGGAGAAGTGAGGATGATAGGATCGTGCACGCCCTCCCTCCCAACTCTGTCGTCCTCCCTCTACCCTCTTCCCCCAGGGTTTCACGCCTGGCATCGGAGAAGCGCGAGCTGGAGGCCCAGCTGGGCCGATCTCGAGAGGAGGCTCTGGCCGGGAGGGCGGCGCGCCAGGAGGCTGAGGCGCTGCGTGGGCTCGTCCGCGGCCTGGAGCTGGAGCTTCGGCAAGAGCGGGGCCTCGGACACCGCGGGGTCGGCCGCCGCAGCCAGGATTGCCGGCGCCTGGCCAAGGAGGTGAGGGGGCGGGGCGGCCGGCGGGCCGGGGGTGGCCGCTGGGGCGTGGACCTCGGCCTCAGTCTGGGCCCTTGCGCCCCTGTTCTCCCCCGGCAGCTGGAGGAGGTGAAGGCGTCGGAGCGTAGCCTGCGCGCCCGGCTGAGGACGGTGAACAGCGAGCTGGCGGTGTACAAGAGGGGGTGAGGGGCGCGGTCTGGGGTGGGCGGGGTCTTGGAGCTGGGAGGGGGCTGCTGGGGTGCTTAGGCCTGGACGGGCGGAGCCTGGGGAGGAGGTGTGGAGTCGGGGGGGGAGGGCGGGGCCCAGGGCGTGTGGGCGGGGCTTGAGTGGGGCGGCTGAGAGTGGGCGGGGACGGAGCGGTGGGAGGAATCTAGTGGACCGCGTGGGGCTGAGTTAGACGTGGTGGGCGGAGTCTGTGGGGAGATGGGCAGGGCTTGAAGCGTGTGTCAGGAGGCTGGGCCTGGAGATTCGGAAGGGGTGGGCCCTGAGGCTATCCCGTAGAGCGAAAGGGCGTGGCCACACGGTGAAAGGTTGTGGCCCAGCTGGTGGGGATCTGGTTGATGTCTGCTGTTACTTATTGCGGTGGGTGACGGAATTTTGGAAAGGATTTCTAGGGAGCGGTGGGAGAGCTCAGGAAGAAGGGTCCCGGTGAAGGGGGTTTGTTAGGATGCAGGGAAGTGACAGACGGGTTATTCTGGGGCTTCGAGAGGGGCGGGAGCCTGGGACAAGGTAAGGTGTCTGTGAGGGTCGTGTGCAAGGGCGTGAATGTCTGGGAGTTGATGGTGGGATGGACCAGAAAGTTCGGAGATGGTGTGATCCGAGAAGAGGCTTGAGATAGGAGTTGAGATAGGAGCTGGCCGGCGGGAAACTGACAGTGGGTCCTGCGCTCCCAGGAGACAGACTCCGCCGGTGGTGCCGCCCCGGGTGCGGGAGGATCGGGCTTCGTCGTCGCGGGAGCGCTCCACATCTCGTGGTCGCGGTGCCGCCCGCTCTTCTTCCCGGGAGAGCGGTCGGGGGAGCCGGGGTCGAGGCCGCCCCGTCCGCCCCTCGCCTTCACCCACAGGTCTGTGCCGGCCAGGCCCTGCCCTGCCCTGCCCTGCCTGTGGGAGGAGGGGGAATGGACTAGAGCTGTGGAGGCGTGATCCTGTGACCCCAGCCTCTTCTCTGCACACTCTCCCACCCCATCCTAGGTGGTCGCGTGCCCCGTTTCGACCCCACGGCCTTTGTGAAAGCCAAGGAGAAGAAGCAGAGAGAGATCAAGATGAAGTTAGCGCACATTTCCTCTTTATCTGCCCATATCCCTGGTCCTTTACTGGCCCGCTGGCCTGTACCCTCATCCATCGCGGTCTCCCATCACCTGTCACCTGCTCCGTCTCTCCCCTTCCTGCTCCTGCTTTGCACCTGAACTCCACCTCCGCCCCTGACCCTTCCCCCCCCCCCCCGCCCTGCTTCCTTGTCTCCCACCACCACCTGGTCTGCGTGTCCGCGTGCCTCTTCCTTACGTAGGCCGCGTGACCTCAACGGAGTCACTGGCCCCGGCTGCGACCACGTAGGGGCGCAGCGACGCCTTTCCTGGCACTAGTTGGGCGGCCGGGTGAGCGTCTCCTTTGCGGTTCCGCAGGCAGCAGCAGCAGAGGAACCGACGGGGCAGCGGAGGAAGCGGCGACGGGCCGTCCGTCTCCTGGTCGCGCCAGACTCGGCCGCCCGCCGCCGTGACCGGCCGAGGGGACGCGGCCAACCGCTCGCGACACCGCAGCTCCTCGGGTAACTGGGCTGCAGAGCGCGGGGCCGGCAGGCGGGCTGGGCGCCCCGGGCGAGCGCCGGAGACTTACGCTCTCTTTCTCCCTCTAGTGGACAGTCTCCGCAGCCGCTGCTCGTCCGCCAGCTCCTGCAGCGAGTTGGAGGATTTCTCTGAATCCCTCCCTAGAGGGTAAAACTTGGGCTGGGGGAAGAGACCGCCTCCAAACGGGTGTCTGGGGAGGCTGGAAAGAGGCTTTTGCAGGGAAATTGGGCGATGGAGGCTGGAGCCTTGAAACCACGTTGGGAGGGCGAGGTGGGAGGTGCCGGAGGCTTCTCGGGTCCGTCCTTGATTACCGTCTCCTGTCAGCGTCCGCCGCGGGAAGCCTCCCAGCCCCACAACCTGGAGTGGGTCCAATACGGTGAGTGTCTTTCCCCAGACCCTGGAGGGGGAGGGGGCAGCGGCAGCATGAACCTCCCAGAAGCCCCTGTCCCTTTCCTCCGTGATTCCATTGTGGGGGAATCAGGTGGGCAGGGGTGGCTCCGAAATGTTTCTGGTGGCGAATGTTTTGAGCCTTGGGTCGGAGGGGAGGGTGGGCGTGGGGTGAGGGCAGATGATGGTGGCCAAGGGCACCAGCGCTGGCCTCCAATGAAAGGTCTTAAAACCGGCCCCGCCCCTTCCTATCGCCTGTGTGTCCCTCAGCCTCAGTGTCTTTGATCAATTAAATGGGGATGGTAATCGTATTCACCTCAGAGGGTTCTTTCTGGTGAAGCTCCCGGGGGGTGATTTTGCATCCAGTAAGTGGCCAGTGGGTGTCAGCCCTTATTTTTTGAGATCCTCGGGTTCAGAATTTCCAGTGGATTTGGGGGGCAGGACTGGAGGGAGGGTCCCTAACCCCCTCTCGTGCCTCCTCCTGCAGCAAAAGTCCACCCCTCTGGATCGCGGCCGCCGTCAGAGACGCCCGGCTAATTCGGGGGGCTGGGTCCCTATCAAAGGTGAGCCTGGGACTCCACGTGTCCCCCCTTCCCCTGCCCCACAGTCTGAGGACAGCATATTGGGCCCTCACAGCCCCTACACCCACCCCTCTCACCTGCGCTCACAGAGTACAGCTCGGACCACCAGGCAGCGGACATGGCGGAAATAGACGCCCGCCTGAAGGCCTTGCAGGAATACATGAACCGTCTGGACACAAGGTCGTGACCTTGGGCAGGGAGTACTGTCCCTCCACCACCCCACGCGCACTGCTGGATTCGGTGTGGAGGGGCGGGGCTGGCGGGTCCTTCCGGCCAGGCTCAGGCTCCTCCCCTGCTGGTGCTCCTGGGGTCTCCCGTGTGTGTAAGGCCCTGACCCCTCCCTCTCTCCCATGCATTGCAGGCTGGGGGGCGGAGGGAGGGGGTGTGCATTTTGTAAATAAACATACTTGTCCTTGGGATCCTTCAGCGTGTGACTGAAGCGTGGGGCTGGAGCGGGAGGAAATGAGGATTGGGCGAGGGGTGTCATTGGGACCTGGGTGTATTTCTGGGCGCGCCTGTGACTGGGAGGCACTTGGGGGTTCAGGGGCAGGAAGAACTTCCATGCTCCCTAAAGCAACAAAAGGGGGGACCTTAGGGATGGTAGTGAGCAGCTCATCCCCAAAGGGGTGCAAGCGGAGATAACTGCGCAGAATCCCTTTGGCTGAGTGGTAGAGAAGGGGTGTCCTGGAGCATGGTCCACTGCCCCCGCAGGACCCCCCCCCCCCGAACTGCTGGCGGTGACCCGTGGGCCACCTTGGTGCTGATTCCTGCGCTCTGACCTGAGACCTCTGGGTTCTGAGCTATGATGTTGCTTCTAAGCTGGGATCTCGGGTCTTGGTTCAGGGTCGGGGCCTCTGGGTTCTAAGCACCAGCGAGGACAGAGGGCTGGGTGGGAAGGGCGGGGGTCTGGTGGGAGGTAGAGAGGGAGGGGGGGGCACAGGGTGGGACACAGAACACAGTTTGAGCTGCATCTTTATTGGAGGGGAGAGGCGGTGGGGTTTCTGGGTGTAGGGGGAGACGGGGCCTCACTCGTGGTAGTGCGGCCAAGTCCGGATGATTTCATAGAGTTGGTCCCCTGGAGAGAGCGTCCGCTGCACATCCCGGTGTCCTTTGACCTCGTATGTGGGGCTCAGGGCTCCCTGAGCCACACCGCAAGCCAGCAGACTCTGGGCGGCCCTGAGGGCCCGGCGTGGGGGTGACCGCTCTGGGGGAGGCAGAGGCAGGAGTTAGGCTGCCGCTTCGTGGAAGGGCAGGGGTAGTGTGGGGCAGGGGTTCCATTTGTTCCACTCTGGCCCACTAGGGTCCAGAACCGGGTCTGCCAGTCCCCTCGCAGGGACTCAACCTTACTGTGCCTCAGTGTCCTCCCCTGTGAAAGGAGAGAGTGGTGGCACCCACCCACAGGGCTGTGGGACAATAAAATGAATTCTTTTAGGCCAAACCCCCCCCCCCCCCCGCAGAACAGTGCCTGGCACAGCTGAAACCCATTCTGCCTCCTCTGCCCCCAGACCTCGGGGTCCTACCCATGAGGGCAGCAATCAAGCACTTCTTAGGTGCCAGGGACCTGGCCTAAGAACTTTTATGGAGATGAACCAATCCTAGCCCAAACGGGGGTTGAAAAGAAATGGCCATTATGCAAAGGAGGAGAGGAGGCTTGGAAAAGCAGTCAGTTGGCCAAGGTCACAGAGGCGCCATCCCCCAGACCCCATGTCTGCCCCTCCGTCCCTACAGCTGGACGCTTACCCATATAGTTACCCATGAAGGAGATGCCAATGGACATGGGGTTCCAGGTGACACCCGTGTGGTCGCCCTTGATGTCCCAGCCCCGGCCCTCATACACGAGCCCATCTTCTCCAATCAGGAAGCTGCGTGGGTGGGTGGGAGGGTGGGTTTGCTGAGTGACGGAGGGCATCCTGGGGGAGGATGCCCCCCTCCTCCTCCACTCACCCTGCCCCCTACTACTCAGGCACAATTTCGCCCAACACCCTCTCTCCCTCCCTCCCTCCCTCCCTCCCCTCCCCTCCATCATCTTCTGAAATAATAGCAATGCCTCTGGCCCCTGCCACGTGCCTAGCACAGCTCTACAAGCGCCATTTGTCACCCTCCGGGCAACCCTTGAGTCCGTACTGCCCCCACTCAGCAGAGAATCAGAGAGGTGGGGACATCTGCCTGCAGTCACACAGCCAGATAGGGGCCAGAGCCCAGATTTTCCCTCCTGGGTCCCTGGGACTCCCACCCACGTGATCCTATTCTTTGCTTCCTCCTGCCTCCCGGGAGGATTTGTTGAGCTCTTGATTTGTTGAGGCGGGTGCTGCTGTCCTCCCCATTTTAAGCTAAGGAAGCACGAGACTTAGAAAGGGAGGGGATTTGCCAAGGTCACGCCCCAGAGACCCCTGCCTCTCAGAAGTCTCCACTGAGAAGCTCTTCTGCCCTTGGCCCAGCCTGCTTCCTGCTCCCTGTTCCCTGCTGGGGTACACCGAGTGACAGGATCTGGGACTCAAGCATTGGTGTCACCACCAGATTACAGACCCTGGTCCCAGCATCTACCTCTGGGAGGTTTCCAGGCCTGGCGGCAGATCCTTAAGACTCATTTGACATGTCTTGATTGGGCGAGTCTGACTTGGCCCGTTGGAATTAACTAGAAGGTCAGCATTTTGATGTTGCAAATATCCGCTGCCTCAGCCCTCCTGCTCAAAGGGTTTCTTGTGACGTACAGAATGTTGGAACTTCAGAATCTTGGGTCCTGAATCTCACGCACAGGAGGCCAGACTCGGAATCTGGCCCGGAAGAGACTGGAAATTCCACAGTGATGCTGGCCCCCAGGACTGGGCTGGTTAAGGCCCTGCCCCAGCCCCTGGTACAGGCAATTGGCATTGGCTAGGTTTGCGTGAGATGGTTGCCTCTAATTTAAACCGTCAGCACCGGGGCGCCTGGGTGGCACAGTCGGTTAAACGTCTGACTTCAGCCAGGTCACGATCTCGCGGTCCGTGAGTTCGAGCCCCGCGTCAGGCTCTGGGCTGATGGCTCGGAGCCTGGAGCCTGTTTCCGATTCTGTGTCTCCCTCTCTCTCTGCCCCTCCCCCGTTCATGCTCTGTCTCTCTCTGTCCCAAAAATAAATAAAAGACGTTGAAAAAAAAAATTAAAAAAATAAACCGTCAGCACCGCCACCAGGTGGGGACAGCGAGGAACCCTTCTTACAGGTCAAGAAACTGAGGCTCAGAGAGAGAATGTGATGTGACGAGGGAGTTCCAGGACAGTTGGATCAGACTCTGAATCCTAAAATCTGAGAAAGAGACTTCAGTCTGCTTTTCTATAAGGCAGTTCAAGGCCAGCGGCCGAAGCTTTGTCTTCACTACTTCGTGGAAACGCTCAGAATCGGAACCCCTCGGTCTCGGAGGAGACAAAACCCGGGAGCTGGAGCCTCTGAACTGTGAAATCTTGAGCCAGAAGAGGTGAGGATTCCCTCGGTGGCCGCTAGACTTTCAGCGAGGTGCCCAGAGTCCCCAGCCTCACCCCAGCCCTATTTGAAGCAGTCTCGAAGGGTGGAGCCTGGCAACCTGGATTTCCAGTAAGGTGACTGGTGCTTACCGAGGTCTGAGAACCCGTCGGGTTCAAAGTTCAAAGGCTGCGGAAGCCTTTGTGTGGGACCCCCGCCTGTCACCCCGGAAAGGGAGCTGGGGTTTCTGCCCTTACCCACCTGCGGTCTGTTCTCCCCACGGCCGCCAGAGGGAGCTTCTTGCCTCTCGCGGGCTCACAGCCCTCCCGTGGCTCCCGTCTACCGTGGCCCACGAGGCCCTGTGCCGTGTGTCCCAGCCCGACCCGGTCCTCCTCATTTCATGTCACTCCTCCCTGCTCCCCCCAGCCATCCTGACCTCTGCTCTTCAGGCATGACCCTCTCACTTGGCCCTCACAGCCATTAATTACTCCTGCTCGGTCCCCTGCTTACCCCTCTTCCACCACCCTCTGAATTCATCTGGTTGCCTTCGCTTGTTTCCCACCTGTTCCTCCTTGTGGGTCTTGAAATCCCACCGGGCCAGATTCGCGCTGTTGACGCGTCCCGGTCCCCACACCGGCACAGAGCCTGGCACAGTGCCTAAGGGCGAGCGTCCATGAACTCGGGGGCGGGGAGGGGGCTCCCACCGCATGCCCGGTGGCGTCCTAAGTGCTTTGCGTGTGTGTGTGTTGGCTGATTTAGTGACCAGGTGGGCCACAAAGGAGCTGACTGCAGAGCAGGGACAGGAAGCCAACGAGCAGAGAGCGCGCATCGGTGCCCGGATCTCGGCCGGCAACCAGCGGAGACTGGAGTTGGCCCCACGCTTCCCCAGCCTGCTTGTCCGCCTCCCATCAAAGGTGGCAGGCTTTGTGAAGGGACTCCGGTGTAGAGGACGCCTTCTTCTGCGTTGGCGAAGTCTGTCCCTTCCTCCGGGAGCGGGAGAGGGGGATGGGGGGTGGGCAGAGCCTGGCCTTCCAGCCCCGCCCCCTCTTCCTCTCCCCACCCCCCACCCAGGCCCCTGAGGCCGCCCGCACATGCGCAGTGCTGTGTGCCGACCCCGGGGAGAAGCCAAGGCCACCGAGGGGCCGAGTAAGCGGCCCAGGGTGTCAGCCAGGCGGCTCTAGATCGGCCCGTGGCCGCTCGGGCCCGCACACCTTTCCCTACACCCGTCCCGGCTCCGCACTCACTTGTAGCCCACGTCACACCAGTTCAGCGTCCTCGAATGGTAGGTATGCAGGTTCTGCACCTGCTTCAGGCACGAGGCCGGGCTGTCGCAGTGGCTGCCCGCGGTGTGCGACACCACCACGTAGCGCACGGGGTGTTGTAGCTTCTCCCCGCACTTGGACGCGGGGGCCTTCCATTCCCTCCGGGGCACTATGGGGCAGCAGGAGCCTGGGGCTTCTTCTCCAGGCGCCCCGAGGCCGAGGCCGAGGAGAGTGAGGAGGGCCCAGGTGAGCAGCGCGCTGCGGCGGGACATGGCGGGCGGGGCGCGGAGGGATGCCTAGGAGCTCGCGGCTGGCGGGCGGGGCCGCCTTTATCTGCTGGGGCAGGAGGTAGGGAAGGCCTTGCTTCACCCCCGGGCGGGACGGGCGGGTCACACCGGACCCCAGATTCTGCTTCCTTCTCTGGCAGGGCTGCAACAGGATGCGGTGGGGGCCCGGGTCTCATCTCTCTTCCTCCCGGAGGGACTGAGGTAACAGACGCCCCCCCCGGGCCCCCCCCCCCCGTTTGTAACTGACGTATAAGGAGCACACAGTTTTATGTGAGTTTCAGGCGCACAAGGTTGTGAGTCCACCATTCTGTGCCTTACTCAGTGCTCGCCACGATAGGTGTAGCCACCCTGGGGGGACGCAATGCTCTTGCACTCTGACTTATTATTATTATTTTTAAGCTTATTTATGTATTTAGAGAGAAAGCGAGCGCATGAGCCTGGGAGGGGCAGAGAGAGAGAGGGAGACCCAGAATCCGAAGCAGACTCCGGGCTCTGAGCTGTCAGCGCGGAGCCTGATGCAGGGCTCAAACTCACGAGCCGTGAGGTCATGACCTGAGCCGAAGTCAGACGCTCAGCCGACCGAGCCACCCAGGCGTCCCCCAAAGCTCCCGTCTTAAAAACAAGTCATTCAACCTGAGGTCATTCAACCCCTGCAGCAAGCTGAAGACGTCACTAGTGGGAAGCCCATTCCACCGCTGAGGAAACTGAGGTGGGGGAGAGGGGACCTCTCCTTGCTGAGACAGAGGACATGGGAGAGCCTGGTGGCTCACAGCCTGCATTCAAAACCAGGCTGCCTGCGTTTGAATTCTGGCCAGCTTCCAGGGTGTGGGCTCCCGCCAGTGACCCTTCTGTGGCTCAGTTTTCCCCACCTACAAGATGGGAATAATAATATGAAGTCCCTGACCAAGAGGAGCCATGTGGAATTCAGTGGGTTGAGAAGGGTCGAGCCCTTAGAAGGTGTCTGGCTCCTGGTGCCACCTAAGGGCCACTGGGACTCGAACTCAAATCTGCCCTCGGTGGTAAGCAACCATGATTTACACGGGTGTCACCCGCAGCTCCGTCCTGCCCAGGAGGGACTCAGGGCCACTCAGTGGCTTGAGATCACCTGTTGGGGCCGAAGGCTCTCCTGGGGGCCTCCGCCCTGCGCCGGCCCCCTTTCCTAATCCTTCCTAGAGCAGCTGGCGAGTTCAGGGCTGAGTCCCTCTTTTGCTCTCTCTCTTTTCCTTCCTTCCGCTTTAGTGGCTTAAAAAAAAGTTACAAAAGTAGCACGTGCTGGCCGTACCCAAACTGATACCAAATGTTTATTGTTATTAAACAGTAGTAAAGATTTTACTTTTAAATAATCGCTACACCCACCGTGGGGCTCCAGGGGCTGGAACTTGCAACCCCAAGATCTAGAGTCACATGCTCTATCGACCGAGCCAACCAGGTGCGCGGGCCGCGCCCCCCGGCCGGCTAAACTCACCAGCTCTGTCCACGTGAGCTCACCAATGACAGTGCGGTACGTTGTCTTCTGCCGCGTTGTCCACGCTCCGTCTGTGCTCAGATCCGTGATAGCGAAGGGCACGCCGGGCATCGCTATGCCCTTTTCATGAATTCGCTCAGCACATGCTTCCGGCATGTTTGTGAGATAGATATTACTATTCACCCCTTTTGCAGCCAAGAAAACTGAGGCCCAGAGAGGTGATCACATATGGGGAGAAGACGGTGATGCCTGGGGTCAGCCACAGGCTTCCTGGACTCCAGAGATGGAATTTTAAATCATATTCCACTTCCTACAAACACGTATAAGACCATACACACACACACACACACACACACACACACACACACACATATATGGTCTTATATGTGATCATATATATATATATATATATAATTTTTTTTAATGTTTATTTATTTTTGAGACCCAGAGAGAGACAGAGCATGAGCAGGGGAGGGTCAGAGACAGAGGGAGACACAGAATGGGAAACAGGCTCCAGGCTTTGAGCTGTCAGCACAGAGCCTGATGCGGGGCTTGAACTCACAGACCTCGGGATCATGACCTGAGCCGAAGGTGGACGCTCAACTGACTAAGCTACCCAGGCACCCCCCAATTTTTTTTTTTTATCGTTTATTTACTTTTTGAGAGAGAGAGACAGAGGTGTGAGCAGGAGAGAGGCAGAAAGAGGGAGACGCAGAATCCGAAGCAGGCTCCAGGCTCTGAGCTGTCAGCACAGAGCCCAGTGCAGGGCTCAAACTCACGAACCACGAGATCATGACCTGAGCCGAAATGGGAACGCTTAACCAACTGAGCCACCCAGACACCCCTATATATATTTTTAAATAACGGAATGAAATCATGTGCATCACTTTGCCTTTCGTCACCTACTATCTCTTGTGCATCTCGCCAGGTCAATGCAGCTAATTCTAATTCAATCGTTGTAAGAGTTGCATAGCATTTCATGCTGTGGGCTTACCATTTTGACACAATCTTTGCTTTTTTGGAGCTTTGGAATTCTTTTTCCCGCCCCCATGCTGCACAAAATGTTATCAGACATCCAGCCCTACCTGCTGAAGCATCTATAAATGATAAATATAGACTTTCTAAGTCAAAGACTGTACGTATTTAGTAGTTGTTACTAGATTGTTTCCCCCAAAGGCTGTTAAAAATCCATATTTCTACCAGTGATGTATTGGAGTCCCCATTCACCCCAGAAGAGGGCACTATCTCTTTGTAACTTTAAATGGCATTTTTATAACCACTCAGGAGATTATTTTTCTATGTTTTCTGCCCGTTTGGATTTGTCTTCTATCAATTGCCTGTTACCTCCCTTGTCCATTTGAAAAATAAATTGGGCTGGGTTGCCTGGCTTGCTCAGTTGGTGGAGCACACAACTCTTGATTTCAGAGTCATGAGTTCAAGCCCCCACGTTGGGTGTAGAGATTCCTTTAAAAAATTCTAAAAAAAAAATAAATAAATAAATCGAGTTATCTTTTTGTTACCAATTTGCAAAGTGAAGAAAAGAATCCCATAACTAGTATTGTTGAGTCGTTGGGTGTGTACATTTTGTGTCTCTTTTAAAAGCATTAAGGAGGGGCGCCTGGGTGGTGCAGTCGGTTAAGCGTCCGACTTCAGCCAGGTCACGATCTCGCGGTCCGTGAGTTCGAGCCCCGCGTCGGACTCTGGGCTGATGGCTCAGAGCCTGGAGCCTGTTTCCGATTCTGTGTCTCCCTCTCTCTCTGCCCCTCCCCTGTTCATGCTCTGTCTCTCTCTGTCCCAAAAATAAATAAACGTTGAAAAAAAAATAAAATAAAAGCATTAAGGAATAGCATACATGTAGCAAAATGTACAAAGTTACTTTTAAAATATGGTTAATAGAATTAATAGCGTGAAGAACTGTGTTCCTTTTCGCACCGTGAATACAGGATGTATCCAGCAGCCAGATCAGGAAATAGAACTACATCAAAATTTTTATTTTATTAAAAAAATTTTTTTTAACGTTTCTTTATTTTTGAGAGGCGGAGAGAGATCGAGTGCAAGCGGGGGAGGGGCGGAGAGAGAGGGAGACACAGAATGGGAAGCAGGCTCCAGGCTTTGAGCTGTCCGCACAGAGCTGATGCGGGGCTCGAACTCATGAACCATGAGATCATGACCTGAGCCAAAGTCGGCCGCTTGACCAACTAACTGAGCCACCCAGGCGCCCCAACCTCAGCTAGGATTTATAATTGCATATGGTGTGAGGTAGGGGTTTAAGTTGATGTCTAAATGGCTAGCCATTTGTTCTGGTGCTATTTATTAAATAGACCTGGTTTTAAATTTCAGCCCTGCCCCTTATTCGCTGGGCGGCCTTGGGCAATTAGGCAGGATTTGACATCGCTGACCACATCCTTCTTGAAATGTTCACTTTCCTCAGCTTCTGTGTCGTAAGACTGTCTTGATTTTCTTTCTGCTTCTCAGCTGGTCTTTTCTTCTCCCTCTTCGACTCATTCTTCCTTCCTTGACCATTAGACTATTCTTTTTTCTGCTGGGTGATTTTCCATCCGGGTAATGGCTTCAGCCACCACTAAAATGCAAGTGACTTCTAGGTGTTTGTGTCCAGCCTGGAGTTTTCAGATGAATTCTGGAACTGTGTATCTTCCTGCCTAGTTCACACCTGCACTTCGATGCCCCACAGGGACCTCCCATGAATATTCCTAAAATGGTTTATGATTTTTCTCCTCCAAAATCAGCCCTCTTCCAGAGGTTCCTGTCTAAGGGAATGACATGATTGTCTTCCAGGTACAAAAGCCATGCATCAGAGCATCATCCTTGACCAAACTCTACCGTGTCCCCTCTTGTGTTGAGTACCCCAGCCCATAGCAGGCGCCGAATATATACTGAATGACTGGTAAGTATCCAGCTCACTCCCTGGTCATGTTGCTGTTATAGCCCAAATATCTTATGAATCAGACCACCCTGGTTTATTTCCACTCTCCCCACCTGGGTCCAGTCACCGTCTCCTTGCACCTGGATTTTCTCCCACCCCCTCGGTGACTTTCCAGCATGCACCTTGGCCCCCATGAGGCCGAGACTCAGATCTGATCAAGCGACCCTCAAACGTGAGTCACCGTTTTCTGTGGCTTCTCACGACTCTTAGGATGGACCCCAAGCACTTCGCCACGGCCTGCCTTCAACCTAGTCTCACCCAACTCACTCCTGAGGCCCTCTTCCCCTAGCTTCCCTGCCCTTCTTGCCGCCCTTGAGGATGCTTTGACTACCCTGTCCCCAGGGGACTTTCTCCGCACTGTGTGCAAGCTTTATTTATTTATTTATCTATCTATCTATTTATTTATTTATTTACATTTTTAGAGAGAGAGAGTCTGAGAGCAGGGGAGAGGGGGAGAGGGGGAGAGAGAGAATCTTAAGCAGGCTCCACACTCAGCACGGAACCTGACGTGGGGCTCGATCCCACGACCCTGGGATTGTGACCGGAGCCAAAATCAAGAGGCGGACACTCAACCAACTGAGTCACCCAGGAGCCCCTGTACAAGTTCTAAATGGGGAACCT